AATAAACTCTCTTTCAATAAAAATACTCTCTCAACTAAGATAAATATTTAAAATACTAATGGAAAAATCTGAAATCCAATCAGATATTTCAGATAGCATGGCTAAGCAAGAGGCAAAGGTATATTTCTCAAAAAATATGCAGAACTAATTTCATATATTTTTTCCCATATTATTCTTCTTAATTCAATTATTTCTATATTTTTAAGTATATATAAGATTAAAGTTTCGTAGTTTTTTATCATTTCATCATGCATGTATGTAGTCATGTTCGTTGTATGCAGGGTTTTATTTTCAATTATTCCTTCCTATCATATTCATAATCGATTAAATTCATATTAGATTATTATGAACTAGATTATCTATTTATCATGTTCTCCTGTCACTACTAGCATCGTACTTTAGCGGATACTTACTTCTTATCAGCGCCTCAACTTTGTTTACTCCCCTAAACGGCTTTCCTCGCCTACCGGTTTCAACATTAGGATGACAGTATAGAAGTTTTCTCCCTGTTTCCAGTGTGCTAATAAACTAGATATCATGATTCAAATAATTCTAATACATAATAACTAACATAAATTTATTCAATCATATATATGATATTCAGGAATATATGAAATTAGTTCTGCATATCCTTAGTGTGAACTCTAGTTACTTGATAGGTTCTACAATGTGTAGATAGTAGTATGGGATGCTATCTATACATGGCACGAGTAGGCTTTGAAGGTGCCAAAATGAGTTCCCTAAGTCTACATGACTATAGTGTGAAGTCCCCTAAAGGCATGAGTGTATCCTAAATGACTTTAAAATAAGAATGTTGACTTATTGTCTAAATGATTTGTTGAATGAATAGCTTATGTTAATGAAGTGAGTTACTTAATATGCTACCTTGAAGCATGATGGTTCTTGTCTATAGTAGCCTTGAGGAACACTTAGGTGTGTATGGGCGGCCATTTCATGTCTCACTCAAGTGTGTCTTAGGGTAACTTTAGATAAGGGTTCTTGGATGATAAAATGAGTTACGTGGTGAAAATGTTGAGTATGTCTATAATGTGGTTAATGTCTTATATGTTGGCTATGTTCTATAATATGTCTAATATGTCAATATTCATGAAGTTTTACTAAAATGGCACAGGGCATGCCTTTCAACCAAATGTCCTTTTTAGCATGTTTTGGCATGGTTTCCATACTTAGTACTTAATTGTACTAACCCTTTTCTTTCCCTTTCGACTAAAGTGTAGGGATTTGGAGATGTTGATATTCCATGGTTGAATGATATGTTTCTATGATGTTTGAAGATGAAGACTTGGTGAGTCCTCATATATTCGAGGACAATAACCAACATGTTCCTTTATGTCTTGTAGTTTTGTTATAGTTTTGAGTGGGCTTAGTCCCATTGTTGTATTCAAGTATTAGATGGTTTTGAGACATCTTGGATAAAGTCTAGAAAGTCTTCCGCTTGCTTTTTATTTAAAAGGTGTTCTTTCGATTGTAAATGAAGCTTTAAATTTCTCCTCTATATTTTTTTTTGTATCATATTTTAATGAATGATCCATGAGGCTTGTATTTGATCTCTTCGAGGTCGAA